AAGACTTCCTTGCGGGCGTGAGTGGACATCCTTTTGAAAGGGAATCGCTTGTCGAGGCTCGAGGGCGTCAGGAGGATGGACTCAAACAGTCAGTCGCTTCATCCTGTCAAATGATCTGGTCTGACTCATCTTCCTCCCTTTCGTGGGAATGGGCACGAAGAAGAGATTGGTTGGTTGGTCTCGCCGGAAGACGACGGCCGAGTTCCGTTGTGCTGCGGTCTTCTCCACTTCCAGTTCTGATGCCATTCGTCAAACGACGGAGGAGGTCTCGGCGACTGCGCCATCCACAACGTCGTGTTACAGCCAGACGACCGCAGAACAATGATTCAAGTTCTTATTCAACTTCAGCTCGTTGCAGCAATCCCTCGTTTCACCACGAGCTCAGTGCCATTCATCAGTGGCGCAACAACATCGGAGGGACGTGGAAGGGGTCACCGGGAGAATCGCGCATTTTCAGCTTCAAAAACGGCAGCCTTCGGCACCTCAACCGTAGTCATTCAGTCCTCCAAGCCTCAGGAGGCGAGGCATAGCAACAGCAACTCTGCAGATCCACTTCCGAACTCTCACCCAAGACCACATGTGCTCTTTCGTCGAGGCGGAAAAGAGTCATTCGAATCAGACACGACAAGCTTTCGTCTATTAACCGTGTCTTCTGTCGAGACAGTTGCTGCCTTCTTCAACCACTTTAACCACTTTGTAGCTCTTTTGTTCGTCATTACGCCCATTTCTTCAACTCCAGACCGCTAGTTGACGTCCTTCTCCAGTCGGTCTCTACGCACCAGCCTTAGTTTCATCAAGACGTGCATTGGAGCGTTCCTGGATGCACGAAGTAAAGTTGGAATTTGAGAAATCTCTGCGTCTACGTTAGATGAACTCACTTCCTCTTCGAGTAAACGTGGGTGATGAAAGGTTTCGAAGCTTGATCCTTCAAGAAGACGTATTCTGGTTGCTGAGCTTACCAAAGCATTCTCCTCTCGATTCTGGTGAAAACTTGTTAGGCCCTCGTGTAAGAGTCCTAGTCATAGTCGAACAAAGTGAGGAAGGATGGACAACTGCATTTTATCACAATCAT